TGCAGTTTTTCTTTATATTGTGCAAAATCAGATTTGAATACAAATATAAATGCATCTAACTCATATGTGGAATTGCAGAATCAAACAATCAGTTTAACACAACTTGAGAAGTTCCCTGGAACCAACTAGAAGAAGCAGCCTCAAGACAAACTCAGGAAGGCTCCCAAAAGGAGGAAAGGGTTGTCCCAGGCACAGAACACAGCCCAGAGGAAGGCTCCCTCAGGGACAAGGATTGGGAGACGCACAGTATCTGCAGGGGCAGGTGCCCAGGGCCCCTTTGTCCTCCGACTCTAGGTGTGCATGCACTTGGACCTGACTTCCTAGGATCCCCCTCCTGATAGCTGCCCCTCACTGTAGCCCTGGGGAAGGTTCCAGGAAAGTCCAGCCGCCTCCCCTTCCCTAGGATGTGCCATTCCCGTCCATAGCGTACTGGCCATGTCCAAGGGTCTTTAAACCACTGCTTCCGACATGCTAGGTACTTGGGTCAAGGATGACCTGGAGGCTCGTTCCTGCCAGACCCAAATTCCAGCCAGCTGCCCCCTAGACAAGGCGGACACTCCAGCACAGGGCAGGAGAAGACTCCACCCTACCTGCCCCAGACCACTATAGGGCTGGAGCACCTGACTCTGACCTCCCCAGCCTGTACCAGGAGGACTTCAGTAGAATGTTGGGACTATCCACCAATGTGACCCAGTTAGCATCACAAAGGGTGGCAGAAGAGGGCATAGGGAGAACCCATCCTGGGTATAGATGTGGGTTTGAATGATCCACGTGTGGGCTAAGCCTCCCAGCCTAGCATGTGCACCACTGTCCCATCAGTGTTCACTAACAAAACACAGATTCAAAGATTAAAGTTTTCAAATTTCAAGCAGCCACTGGAGAAGCATAAAAAAGGGGCCGGAGGCTGCCCTTGGCTACAGAGATGAGACTAACAAGGGCCATGCTTTAGAAAGCCTGGTCTATTGTAGTCAGGGAGTTGGAAAGAGCTCCATTAACAATTCAGGCAGGATGCCAACAAGGGAAGTTAAATTTCACAAGTGCTCAGGAATCTAGTTATCAGACATCAAAGTGGAGTTCAAAGTGGAGTAGGAAGTACCACAAACAAAGCAAGGAGAGGATGCATCTCCTGCCCCAGAGTGGGGAGAGCAGGACTTTGGCGTATGTGTGTATATGTGTGTATGTGTTTTATGTGTGTATTTTCTTAGCAGCTGAAGGGCCTGAGTATTGCTGCAGATACATGACAAAGGTGCAAATGTACCACCCTGAAAACAAGAGAACCAGATGTTGAAATGCAGGCCAGGAGTTAAAGTTTAGGGACACTGCCTTTCTATATGTAGGCCTGCCTGGTATTAGAGGAATGTTCAGAGCCATTCAGCCCCTTGCCATGGAGCGATAGTGGGTGACATCACAAACATACCTTCTCAGGTGTTTCTAAACGGGTGCCCATCATGGAATATAGGTGTGGACACAGGTGCCTGGATATCTCACGAGTGAGGAAGTTTACAACAGGGCTAGAAAGTGTGACTTAGAATCGCATGACTTTTCTAGATGAATACCTTGGTGGGATTCCCTTACCATGGTAGTCAACAGACATTTCCCCTTTTTAATTGCCAGAGGGTACTTACACTAGCTACAGAGTGTGAAGCTGCCCCCTCCCCCACCAGTGGGACATGATCATGTCACAATCCCTTTTTCATTTCTCCATCCTTTCAGAATTTTGGTTACATGCACACATGTGTGTTTTTTAAGCCACTGGGCTGGGAATTGAACCATGGTTGGCCCTATGGGAGCCAACTTTGTATGCACAACATTTAACCAGTATGCTATGGGACTGGCCAAAGAAGACTTTTTAAATTGTTTTCATTTGAACTCAGTTTGCTCAGTGATCTTTTTCATTCTCACTTGGAGCTTGACATTGGCCAATGTTTGCAGGGACAGAATCTATAGGGCATTGCTACTTGGATGGGGATAAATGTCTGGGAAAGAAAGAATAAGACTAATCGGAGCTACTAAAATTCTTCTTAAAGGGGCCAGCAGATGGCGTGATAGTTGGGGCAACTGGACTCCCACATGGGTGACCGCGGTTTGAGTCCGAGTCCCAGACCTGGTAGCTTTCTTTTTCACTTTCTCTCTCTCTGTCTCTCTCTCTGGTGAGCACCTGTGCTCTATAGCAAACTAAACAATAGCAATAATAATAAATTCAATTTAAACAAATAATAATTCTTGGAAAAGGGTCAACTGGTAGGTAGCATGGAGGTTAAGGCAACTGGATTCCCACATGGCCGACTTTGTGGTTCAAGCCTCAGACGCAGTGGCTTGAAAATCATACTGGACTTGTGTGCATACATGTCCAAAATCCCAAAAGGAGAAGGGACTGCAGCATGGCTATCTCCCTTGGGGACTGATTTATCACTTTTTTTCTGTTGCTCTCTGGTAAGCACACATGCCCTTTAGCCAAACTAGAAGAAAAAAAATTCTTGAAGGATCTTTCTCTTACCTCAGAATGGGGAAGACTTTCTATGACTCAAAGTCCAGATGCTAAGAAAGAAAATACCTGGGCCAGCCCCTTTGCTCAGTGGTCAAGGACTGTGTCTTGGGAGCCATACCCCACAAGTCTGATCACAGTTCAAATCCCGTCGTTGATTGCTTCAAAATCTGGGCATGTATGTGTTCATGCCCCAAATCTTGACAGAATGGAGAAGTGAAAAAATATAGCTGCGTTACCATGCCCAGCTGGAGGATCTCTCTCTCTGCTTAGTGCATGCACCCGCTGGGGGGCAAGAAAAGAAGAAAGAAAATGCCTTTAAATCTGAAAACATAAAACCCGAGAACTTCTGCATAGTTAAAAAAAAAAAAAAAAGTAAATCAAACGGCAAGTGACAAACTAGAGAGGAAAGAAAAAAAGAAGTGATTCATATCACAAAGGGCTAGTATCCCAAAACTGAAAAATAGCTCCTTCAGTAAGAAAGAGAGCCTTAACCCGACAGCAAAGTGGGCAATGATATAGAAAGACAGTCAATAGGAAAAGAAATGTAAATAGCTCCTAAAATACACAAATAGTTGCTCAAGTACACTCAGAATGAGAAATACAAATTAATATTAGTGTGAAAGCAGTTTTTCTCTCATGAATTTGATAAAGGGCCAGAGCTTGATGTCCATAGAGAAGCAAAACTTCTCATGCATGTTTTGAAATATATGTAAGGAGGCAGCAGGAGGTGTGACAGTTGGGGCCTTGTACTTGCGCATGGTCAATCACAGTTCGAGTCCCGGACCTGGCGGCTTGCTTTCTCACTTTCCTTCTTTCTCTGTCTGTCTCTCTCTGGTGAGCACATGTGCTCTATAGCAAATTTTAAAATAGTAATAATAATAAATAAAATTAAATAAATAAATCTATTCTTAAAAAAAGAAATATATGTTGAATAGTCACCAATATTCTTACTGTGCTGTGGTGTTCTCTAATTCATTCCTTTTATTTATATACATGCTTGTGTCCATTAACCAAGTTCACCCCAGCCTCTCACCTGCCTCCACTTTCCTGCTTCTGGTATCTACCATTACACTCTCTACGTCTATGCAAATGAATCTTTTAGCTTCCACTAATGGGTGAGGAACCATGGTATTTGCCTTTCCTAGCCTGGCTTATTTTACTTAGAATTATTTCCTTCAGGTTCATTTACTTTGCCTCAAAAGACAGTAATTCATCCTTTTAATGGCTGAACAGTATTTCATTGTGTATATGAACCACAATTTCTTTATCCAGTTAGTTGTTGGAAGTTCCTATCAAAATAACAAATGGAGATTCCCATTGCCAGATATCCTCTGTCTGCCTCTCAGGCCCACCCTCCACTGTCTCCATCCCTTTGCTGTGCCATCTTGTATGGACATACCCCTGAATGCCTTGCTCTATGATTTCCTGTTGGGTTCAGCCAATGGGGAACCCCAAGAAAGAGAAGAGAGGGAGGTAGGGAGAGATATTCATTTCTCCACTCCCTCCTTACACAGTCAACTTAGGCTGGCTTTGTCCTTTGGCCTCAGGCCAGAGTTCCTCACACTAGATTCTCCCCATTAAATTCCAATGCTGGGTCCTCCTTCACGGCTCCCCTTTAAGTCCAGAATAGGAACTGCACCCACTGTTGTGCACTGAAGGTAACTCTTTTGTGGTTTGCCTACTTGCTGCTCACACATTGGACTAAACTCTTCCTCAAAGTATTCTAACTTGAATGTGCTGTTCCCTGCCAGGATCCTGATCCTGGATCCCCTTCACCTGGCAATCTATACTGTGTTCCTACACTTAGACTTACACATGTATAAAATGGTCCAGGTCCAAGAGAATTCCTTGCAGAAAAGATTAGAAACAATCACATGTCAATCAATAAGGAACTATTTATAGAAATGATAGTCTACCATAGGATAGAACATTATGCAGCTATTAAAAAACAAAAACAGGGAAATTCTCTTTGATGGAAAGAGCTCCGAAATGTATTTTTTTACTTGAGAAGGAAGAGTAGGACAGAGACTTCTACATGCTGTCTCTTGTTTAAAAGACAGGGAGAATAAGAATACATGTGTTTTTGCTTATGCATGGACATTCTGAAGGATTTGCAGAATAAGAGGGACCAAGGAGTGATGCAATGGTGGTATGGCTGGACCCACATGAGAGAGGTGCTGGGTTCATGTTCCAGAACCTCCCTACAAGTAGGGAGTTAAGACTATTTACTATTTACTTGTGTGTATGTTTAACATTTTGAAAAAAAATGACTGTTACCTGTACAAAAGTTAAATTTAGAAGTTCTCCCTGAGGAGGGAAGAAATTAGTCCCACACACTGAAACAAGGCTGCTTGAGTAAATGGGATACATAGTCCAGCCCCCAGAAAAGCAGAGGATGCCTGGAGCCAGGAACTATGTCTTGCCAGCCTTTTACTGTGTTGTTTTTGTCCCCATCTTTATTGCTGCAATTTAGAGACTTCAAAATTTTGATCACCTAATGATTGTCTTTCAGGTGTGAAAGTAAAGAAAGGACTTAAAAAATAACAAAGATGCATTTGAACCAGAATTCCACAGCCTTCAGATCACTCATAGGTAAGTGCTACTTTTTGTCCTAGCTCTTGTGGAAACCTGTGATGTTATCACCAAGAGCCACTGTGGAGAACGATATGGAGGTTCCTCAAAGACCTTCAAATAGAACTACCATATGATCCAGCAATTCCACTCCTGGGTATCTACCCAAAAAACAGGAGAGCACTCAGAAAAGCGCTTGCACAGCTATTTTCATTGCAGTCTTATTCACGATTGCTAAGACCGATGAATGGATTGAAAAATTGTGGCACATATACTCACTCCATGGAATACGATTCAGCCATTAAAAAAAAAAACAAAAAAACAAAACCCTGAAATTCCACTTGCAGTACTCAATTAGAATAGAAGCCAGACTCCAGAAATAGATGAATTATCAACCTTAGTAGATCTATAATGCTGGGTTATGAAGGAATAAGACAGAGACCTGGCATGGTTCTATTTATATGAGGTTGAAAGTCTTGAACCTCCAGATAACCCTGAACATACAGGCCTACACAAGCCTACTTCTTCATAATGAAAGCCTTAGCTTTCTCCCCTTGTTTAAATATTATGCAAAAGGACCAACAGATGACATAATGGTTATGTCGCTGAACTCCCACAAAGTTGACCATGGTTTGAGTCAATAATAAAATGAAATGTAAAAATAAAATTTTTAAATGAAGTAAAAAAAAATCAATAGAATTAAATAAATAAATCTTTAAAAAAAAAAAGAAAACCAGGCTATTATGACTTAAATTGTTAACTAGCCTTCACAGAATTGCTATTTGAGTGGAGGACCAAGTATAGCCTACCCAATGTCAGAATTCAGTGGTAAGTAGACAGGAAGCCTGCACTAATAGTTTGGAATCTCTATGGGTTTCTGCCCAACTGTTAATTTTAGGAAAACAAGCAAACAAGAGTGACATAAACTCAGTAATGATAGAGAATATTCTTGTATATATTTCAAAGACTGATTTCTCTTAATACCCTTATTCTAATCCAGGTGGAACTTACCACCCTACTCCTGTACTTGGGAAGAGCACAAACGCTTATGTTCTACCACGTCCCCTAGACTGAAGTCATCCCTGAACATTGGTTTTTGTACTTCGTCTGTTATTGATTTTTTCCTACAGTCCTATTTATTTTTTCTACCTTCCTTCTGATTCTGTTTCAGTATCACTGTGTCATGCGTGCCATAGTTTATCAGCAGAAAATCTGTGAGTGGGACAATTTTCTGAGGCAGACTAACCAATGCACAGGATAATTCCTGGTCTCCCCCTACTAAAAATGCCTGTAACCCACTCCTGCAAAAGTGATGGTGACATCCAGATAACAATGCCCCCACAGATCTGCATCTAGCCCAATGGGACAAGACTCAACAGTTCTCATCATGAACCCACTTCCTTCCTCAGCCACCCTTGGTAAATGTCTTCATGTTTAAAGTTTATTAATTTTTTTCTTTAACGTTTTGCATAGACTGCATGTGCTTGTCAGAGAGACATGGAGAGGGAAAGTGAGAAATCACCTGGCAGGGGGATGAGCACTCCACAATTCCTTCTTCATCTTCCTGGAATTTTGGGCATGTACGCACACATGCTTGGTATGATTTTCAAGTTACCAGGCCCAGGATTCAAACCATTGTTGGCCATGTGGAAGGCTAGCACCTTAACCACTACACCACTGGCTGGCCTGAATTAACATGCTCATTCATATTATGATCATTTTTTTTCAGCTCAGTAACTACTTCTCAAGACACTCCCTTAGCCAGTCCAACCCTTGTTGTTTACATCAGCTACCATGCATATCTGATTTTGGATCCATCCATTTGGGACTTGATCCTTGGACTATATGCTGCTGATACTAGTGTAGACTTATAACCACTTACTGGAGGTGTGGTTTTTTATTTAGTTGGTTAGTTTTTCTGTTTGTTTTTCTTTTAGCACAAGGTGTCCGAATCCAATAATGCATGGGTGTTAAAGAGTCTCAGGCTTAGAGTGATGATTGTAAGGTGAGCCCAGGGGAAATTCTGTTGCTTCTCTAACTTGCTTTTTTTCCTTCTAGTGCTCATCGGTCTAATGTTTGGCATTTTACATGCTTTTCCTGGTAAGAGATTTTCTTGCTTGGCTAAATTTTGTATAAGGGTCAAAGTGTTGGGGTTCAGAAGAAGAAATTTGATTTGTGATTCCAGATCTTTTGCCTATTTTATTGGAATCCTTTCTCTTTAAAGGAAACTAAAACTAAAGGTCTGGTTTTTACATGTGTCTTGCAAAACTATTATAAGAAATCAACACTGAAGATTATTATTATTTATTTTTTGGAGAGATTTTAGCTATAGGGCGCGGGCGCTCGCCAGACAGACAGAGAGAGACATAGAGACAGAAAGCAAGAAATCACCCCCCAGGGGGATGGTCGCACTGCAATCCCTTCTCCTCCATTCTCCTCTCAGGATCTTGGGCACGTACGCACATGCGCCCAGCATGAGTTTTAAGCCACCGGGTCCGGGACGCGAACTGCGGTCGACTTCGTGGGAGTCCAGCGACAGCCATTATGCTAACTGCTGGTTCCCAACACTGAAGATTATTTTAAGACTCTCTGAAAGAACATTCAAACTGTGAATGTTCTCACTAATTAAAGAATGGGGAGACACAGGCTGTGCCAAAAAAAAGGTCCAGAAATAATTTTTTAGTTTGCAATTTTTTTTTCACCTTGTTGTTTCCAAATAAAGGAAAATAGATTTTTTTAAATTAAACTTCTTGTCCATAAACCTTCACTGAGCATTAAATAAGTGTCAGGCCTTGTTATAAACATTGGAGGATGCGGAGCTGACAACCAAGAACCAAGGCCTTGGGTCCTAACCACAGGAAATGCAGTTGTTCTTTAGAAATACAACCATATAAGGCAGGATTTGACAAGTGTCACTTTTGCACCTTAGTTACAGCTGCCCCATCGCAAGTGTTACGCGCCGTGTAGTTTCAAGTTCTTTAAAATGGGTCAGTTAGCGGTACCTACTCTGGCATTATTGTGGGGCTTAAATGCCTAGAAAGGCCAGTCTGGACACACATTATGCTCCTCTCCTGAATTCACCTCTCCCCTATTCTGTGACAGGGAGAGTGAGGTCAGTGAGAAAATCCAGAGAAAGTAAAGCTCACAGTGGGCTGAACTGGTTAAGGAAACTATCTTGGAGGAGGTGGGAGCTGAACTGAGGGAATGGAGTGGGGAGGGGGAGCAGATGGGGGAGGCAGAGAGGAAGTAAACCATGAGGCCCAGAATGACTTGGATTATTTTGGTCCAATGAGCCACAGAGTAGCAGTGATCATTGAAGAAACCCTTTTGTCCCACTTTGGTTTACACAGTGTTGAGTCCCTGTTTCTACGCCTATCAGTCCTGATAACATGTTGCTCATTCATTAATTATTGGGTTCTCAGAAAACTCATGATGCATTTTTGCATAGAAAAACATAGAAAAATTATGTCATGACTTTTCTGACACCCCAATATAATATCAGTTCATTTCCCATGTCAGTAGACTTCCCGTGTTTTGAAGGCCCCGGGCTCTCTAGAGAACTTCTCTGCTGGAGATGTGGGCCCTAGATCCCCAGGGGCAAGTTGAACAGCGATTAAAGCACAGTCTTGAGTTCCACATTTCAATGCCTTTTTTTTTTTTTCCTTCCTATTCTCTTTAGATTTCTCAGGTGCTTCTTGCACTTTAAAGATGACATTGCGAAATTTCCGGTCAATCTTATCATGGGAATACAAAAACCATTCCATTGAACCAGCTCACTATACATTGTGGTATACGATCGGGAGGTTGGTGTGACATTTTATTTTTCTCTTGCTAAACGTATTCTTTCTGTTATGTGGGCGATAGGAATAGAGGTGATCTCTTACTTTCCCTTCCCCTCCCCCATCCTCCTTCCCTCTCTCTCTCTCTGCTTTTTTATTCAGAGCCGTTAAAGTACAAAGACAAAATATTCCTCCATTTTTAATTAAATTAAATGCCTTAATAATCCAAAGCTATTTTTGACAAAGTTTGTATTTACAACCAAAGCCAGTCTCTACAGATCAAAGTCTCCTAAGCGAAGTAGTGATTGTGTATGGTTTTCACAATGATTCCTCTCATTTATCCAGTCTCAATGTTTAAAATGTCTATGTTTTCTAAAGATAGCAGTTCAAGGTCTGTTGATCATATTGATGGTTTATATTGACTTTTCTTTATTCAAGAAGGCCTGTGGGACACCAGAGGGCTGCCTGGCTCAGTCTAGGGCAGGCCTGGGTCCAAAGTCTGGTTTGGTCACCAACCAGCTCGATTCTTGGCATAGAATGCAGCCTCCCTGAGGTAACACCTCTGTTTAAGTGGTGCTGCAAAGAGCAATGACAAAACTGGATAGAGCTTTCTTTGGCTCTCTTTTCCCATGTTTAATAGTCACTCTCACAAGTCATTGCTTTGATCCAGTAGCCCAAGAGTGTTCTTTCATTGATTTTTTGGCTTGTAGTTGCTGATGCTGCTGACAGAGCCAGTGATGGCCTTTGTTAGTTTTCCTCTGGTTCCTGCTAAAGTCTTAATATTTATTTCTGTATTGAGTGTTCACATGTACCACCCACCTACCTTTCTGAAACTTGGTAGGTCAGATGTCTGTGTT